TTATATATATATATATATATATATATATATATATATATAATGAGTCAAATAAGATCGAACAAATTGTTGTTCGTGTACGGCTAGGGCTGTCAAAATAGCTCGTTGTTCACGAACAGCTCGAGTTTGACTCGTTAAGAAGCTTGTGTTTGGCTCGTTCTCTAAGTTAACGAGCAGAACACGAACAACACAAATAAAGATTTGTTCGTTTGTGTTTGGCTTGTTTTGGCTTGAAATACTACTAATCAATTATATATATATATATCTTTGACGAGTAGTATTTTAAAAAAAACAATCTAATTGACTACAAAGCTACAAAGATTTATAATCAATTAAAATATTAAATAAGAAAATAGAATAAAAATTCTTAAATTAGATTCAAATGATGTTTTAACATCAATAATAATTTTTAAATCTTGCCCAAATCCTTAACATTTTATGGCTACGTGATTAGGGCTATCAAAACGACTCTTTCTTCAAGAACAGCTCGTGTTCGACTCTTTTAAGCAAACGAGCCGAACACGAACACACTTTTTAAGCTCGAAATATAAACGAGCCGAACACCAGGAGCTGAGCCTGTGATCGCTCGTGTTCAGCTCGTTTACACCCTTATGTACGGCTAGTTTATAAATTGAGCTTAAAATATTGTTTGTGTTTGGCTTGCTTACTTAAAGAATGATTCAGACACGAACTAGTTAACGATATAACACGAGCTGTTCATGAACAAATATCTTTTTTGACAGCCTTACTGGACGCATATGTTTTATTAATAACAATTATTCATGCAAGACATTACATTCATAATATTTATTATGATTTATATATCTAAGGAAGACAAGAATGGATAAATAAAAAAAATCTTTTATGATTTGCTCAATGAATAGCTATTTTTTAATGTATAAAAAATTTGAGGAAGACCTATGTCAGTCCCAAAAATATTATATATAAGACATTTTTTCTCCTAAAAAATATAAATTTTTTTACTATTTTATCGACTCATTCTCTCATTTTGATTCAAATATTTTCTTGTGATGTTAGGATTTGTTTGTAGCAGCTGCGACTGTTTGAAGAAGCATCTATGAACCTGTTGGAGAAGAAACTATTGTTCAAAAAGCT